AGAGTGAGGGGCCATCCTCCTCTGATTTCCTTAACCTGTGTTATCCTGGGCGCGCAACACACTGCTCTCTGTTCTCTGTTGGCAGCCGCGAAACATTCTTTGCTCAGGAGCCATTTGCCAGTCTGGACAAAACAAACCCAAACAGCTCCAAACCCCTAATCTTAGCATCAGCCTGAAAACTATGCAGGAATTCCTTTCAGACGCACACACAAACGCACACACTCGTGCACACACGGAGTGCGAGAGGGCTCTTCCACGGCTCTTTGAAGTCGAGGCCTTAAAGGATGCTTACTGTAGGGACAACAAAGTGAACTCCTAAACAGAAGAGCACTTCGTACATCACGTATGCAAGGCTGGAGAAGCGAGGGTGTTGGGGGAGGGGTGCTCTGCCCCATGTGCTGAAGCAGGACCCTTGTCACTGAATTCCAAATGCCTATTAATTACACAAAAATAGAACTAGAATTTATAGCCTATCACTTTGGCGTCTTTTTTTTTTTTTTTTTAAATAAGAAGCACACCCTGCCTTTTTAAAATAGACACAAACCCCTTAATTTGGCAAGCGATCCTAGCTCAGACACTGGTGATCTTAGAAGGGAAGAAAGCTTGAAAGGTTAGGTCAGATCAGATTACTGCCCTGCCTAAAACCCTCCAAGGACTTCTCACTGCCCTGGAGACAAAACCTCCTTCCAACCTGGTGGACCGGGCTTTGCTTGCTCCTACTCCTTCCAACCCTCCTTCTCTCCAGCAGCACCAGCAACCTGTGCCCCCAGACCCCAGCCCCATCCTGACCCAGCCCCCGACAAGGCCCTGGCCTGCTGTCAGCACTGCCCCCCACATCTCCTCTGCCCAAACCCAGGTCCGCCCCCACCCTTGCAGGCTCTCTGACCCGCCCTTCCTTTTGGTCTTCACTTCAAGGCCACCTCCAAGAGAGTTCCTCCCCAAGCCCCTAATTCAGGTGGGGCCCCTCGCCCATGTGTTTCCTTTCCATCCTCTTCCTTTGTGTCTTCCAAAGCTCTTTAACCTGCGATTTTCAATGTACTGTTTTTCAAGTCTGTCTTCGCCCAGAGAGTGCAAATTCCACGAGGCAAGAAGAATGTCCTGTTCCTGGCTGTCACCCCCACTTCTACGAGAGTGTGTGAGATCTCGGGTTAGCGTGCATCCCAGACTCAGCCTCCTTCCCCCCACGACAGGCTCCCTTCCTCCAGCTCTTTCCAACAGAGAACGTCCCTCAAAAAAATAAAGGAAGCCCCAAGAGCACTTTTTGAATGCCAGCACTGCTTCCTGGGGATCCACTCTGGAAGTGACATTTACAATGATGCTAAACATCTTTTTCCGCATGTGTTCAAACGATTCACATTTTTCTTACTCCCCTAAGTGTGGTTTCATCTGCCACACTTTCAGCCCCAGTGCTCCAAGCAGCTGACGAGCCAGTGGACCCCACTGAGTCTAACTCCCACTCGAACCCCCAGATACTGTTTTTGCCCAAGACTGCTTTCCAAGACAGGTCTTCACGTGAACTACGCTCACGCATACTTCTAGACCTTTCCAGGTGCTGCGGTCATTAATGGTACGACCTGTCAGGAAGCCCTTCGGACCATCCCTGAAAGGTGTTGCTGACCTCACGCCGCCGCCGCCTTGAAGCGGGCGTGGGCACAAACCGTGGTTCTCCCTGGACATCGGGTCCCATTTGTCAATGACGGGCAGGTGCTGAAGGTTCTGGAGTTCAGATTCTGGAAAGTCTCGATAAAGAAGACACAAGGCATGCTAAGGGCTATGCTTTCCCCCTTGCCACCATCTGGAATCGGTTCTTTCTGATTTGGGGCGACCTGAATATCACGAAAGCAATCAGGATTCACCTCTTTTTGGGTCCCCTTCAAGGTTAAGGCTTGAGCAACATTTTGAACGTTTGCTGCTCGTGCCTGAAACCAGGAGTACGGAGGAAGTTGGGGGAAGGCGGGTGTCTGGCCAAGGGCCAGCCTACGCCGAGCCGTTCACCCTGAGACTGTGGGTGCGTTGCTCAGTTAATGTTCTGTGGCACGGGCGGTGCTTCCAGCAACTCCGAACAGGGGTTCTGGAAGAGGCCCTCCACGATTTAGACCCCGCAAGCTAAGTAACAACAGTACTCGCGCTGCTGTGTATTTGTGGAGTGATTTACAATTTACAAAGACATGTGATCTCATTTAATCTACTCACCGCTCTCGAGGGAACCCCATGAGGTAAGGGAGAGACCACATTGGGATAATATGGCAGATTAAAAGCAGCCTGGAAGTTCTACAATGGGTGATGGATGGCTGAGGGTTGCTTGGGCGGCCTGACCTCCCCCTCACTGTGGGTTTTTGTGATTAATTCACCCACTTGCTTAGGAAGTTTCTTTCCATCTGAGAAAATTAAAAACACCACTCTCTGGACGGGAATGTGAGATCATAAACGAGAACCAAATAGAAAAGATTTACACAAAAGCACAAACTCAGCAAAAGAGACAACTTAGAAATTGCTAATAAGGTATAAATCAAGTAAAGGCTATTAGAAAACCCCTGGTAAAGGGAAAAAAATACACCTTTGAAATGATTTGCTGAGCTCTTAACAATAGTGCTCCTACCTATGATTTTCAAATATCTCCGGGGTAATTTGGCTCATATCCTTAAACACTGCCATGAAGACTTTCCAATTTGAAGGACTTTACACAAAATTATGGGGAGCGTCAGAAAGAAGGTCTTGCTATTGTACCTCCAGAATCACATAATTCTTAGAGCTGTAGGGTCTTCCTCGTCTGTGCCTTCCCCAGGATCGTGAGCACAGGGGGGGGTCCAAACAATTTGGTGACTATGTGAACAAGTAGGGGGAAGGATGGGTGGATGTACAGAAGAGCCGATGGAAAGATGGGTAGGTGGATGGATGGCATGAACAGTGAGGACATGGATGGGCAGATGGGTGGGTGGATAGAGGGAATATGAATCAGTGGATGGACAGACGGACAGAAGGTAGGAAGGAAGAAGACAAACTGACTCATTTTCTTGATGAAGAATGGTGACACCAGAGGGGTTACTCCCTCGTCTGTATTACCCAAAACAACTGGTATCAGAATAGGGGCTCTCAGGGCACTTCAGTCCTACTCTAGTGTCCCCAGCCTAGATCTTCTTCTCTTCCATTTGCCAATTTTATCAAGAGTTCCGAAACATTCACGAGATCGGTCACTGGGAACCACTTCCGGAGGCATGTAAGCTGATACATTTTTGTGTCTATGTGATCAGCAGGGAAATTAAGCAAGCAGTGAGTTTTCTGTAGCCACTTGGAGTTTCATCAAGAAGGAGAAAGCACAAACACCACTCAGCTGTATGTTAACTTCCTACAAACCTCGTTGTCTGAGACCCTCACGGCACGCTGGCCAGTGATGCTGGGCTCTGTCGGGCCTGCTGGGATACTGGAAAAAGAAGACACCTACCGGCCGCTGGCCCAACTTCACACCCTAAGAAGAAATTCTTTGTCCCAAATGCCCCCCAAATTGTTATCCTACCTCTGCCTGGACAGTTTAAATGAGAAGGAGCACACACTTTCTCGGAGGAGCCTGCCTCCCTTTGGGGAGCTCCCTGGTTTGCATGTAGGTTTTTATAATATTTCGCTTCCTATTGGTGTTGGCCTGAGATGCTCTCGCTTCAGGCTTCGGTTCCTGGCTTCAGTTGTCACAGATACAGAACAGATCCCTCCACTGGGTCTTGGTAACTCCCTTGAATTGTGCTTAAGACGGAACCAGGAGCAAAAAAGATGCCCCGTGAAGGCTCTGTGAATGGTGGCGGTGAAGACAAGCAATCACTTGTTAATCAGGTGACAAGGAGGTGCCGCAGGAATGTCCCTCAGGTGTGGCAATGTCCCAGATACGAGCTGTGCCCTTCTGCCCAGTCTGTGTTTCAGGGGCAACATGGAGCCCCAGGAGCCATTCGATAGGAGCCTCCCAAAGCTGTTGTTCGCAGAAGCAGAACCTCCCTCTGTCACAGTCCACCCCTTACACTTCTAGCAGGTGCCCCCCAACCTGCCCTGCCCAGGGCCGGCCCCTTGCCAGCAGGTCTCCACAGAGGCCAGTCTTGGGGCTGCTCCAGCATTTCCTTCCAGCAAACCCAGAGAGCAGGCTTCACCTGGGAAGTGCCACAAAGAGAAGCGTTGGGAAGGACTCACTTAGGTATAAAAAAAGATGATTGTAACAAGCGTGTGTTCTCCTTTCCTAATGAACAGCTCCCCACATGAGCACAGCCCTCTAGTTCGGGACAGGGCCTTGGAGGCATCAGGATCTCATCAGAATCTGTACTCGATCAGTCCACGTACCGTCTCTTTCCACCTCATTTGGATGCTCCCTTAATGAAACTGTCTTCCTTTTTCCCTGGGCGGACAGAGTCTCGAGTTTCAGAAAGGCATTTCAAAGGCAAGAACAGCGTGATTTACTGACATAGAGATGTCACTTCATTTAAACCTCTCAAATTCGATAAGGTGATGCCTCAGAGGTGGGGACACTGCTAACCCTCTGGTCCCCGCTAATGATACACGTCAGGCACACCGGCCGCAGGGCCAGCCCCGACGATGGAAGAAGCTCTCCCCAGCCTGCATGCTCTGAAGGCCATGTGACCCATCTAACCCTGCCCCCTTTGCCAAGTGAGTTTTCCCAGCCCTGGGCTGGTGGGAGCACTGGAGCTATGGGCTCAAATAGAAAACCGGTGCTCAGACAGTAGGATAATTTGCAATTTCTAAACAAAGACACATCCATCCCTCCCCACTCGCCACTTCTCAGGGAAGAGGTCAGTCCTCCTGCCCTGTGGCAGTGCAGTCTGGTTGCCTGTGACCCACCCTCTCAGATAAGCCCAGTCTGCTCTTGCTACTTAGAAAGGGATCTCCTTCTAGAAGTTTCTATGGGTGGTCTGGTCAGAAAACCAGGGAGACTTTTGCTTAGCAATTTCCCAACAAGCAATTCAACCTGTGGCAACTCTGAAAGCGGCTGGAATGTTGGTACTTGCCCTGTGGAGGGGTTCATGATGCAGCCTCCTTTGTCGGCAGCCACACTGCAACCACAGCCTCGCTCCAGCGTGTCGTGGTTCATCCCGAAGTTGTGGCCCAGCTCATGTGCCAGGGTCACGGCGGCGCCAAGGGGGCTGTCTGAATGGTCCTCAAAGCAAACACAAGAGCACATGTATAGTTCACATCTCCTTGGCTTTTTCCCCAGCCCTTGTCCATCTCTGTCCCCCACCATTGATCTTTTCTTAACATTTGACCCAATCAAATCCCCTATAAGGAACAAAACATAGAGCCCCATTATTTAGTTCAAACATAAGTCAGAGATGTGACCTATTTTATGAAACCAGCTCAGGGGCCCTTCTGCAGAGGAATGCACACATGTAAGACTCCTAATGTCTTTACATGAAATGTTCAAGGCAATCATCTCTATTCTGTTTCCTGTAGTCTCTTACAAAACATCTTTCTTGGAGCACCTAGATGGCTCAAAAAAAGTACTATTTTACCCTAAATGGAGATGAGGCTGATGAAAAGTTGGGAGGGGAAGGATACTTTGTGACATTCTCAGTAAGACCTGAGCAGGGGCTACTGAGTATCCCCCTCCCTCCGGCCACCCTGCCCCATCAACTTGGTAGAGAAGGATACTTGGAAAATTCACAATAATTCACAAAAAAAGCAAGCCACATTGAGTAATCTGTTCGAAGACTCAACTGAATTAAGATTATAATCCAGTTATGTGTCACTCTTGCTGGCCCTTGTTTTGTCAAGTCAATTTTAGAGATGGGTAGAAGCACCCTGATTCTGTGAAGGTTGCTGCTGGGGGCTCACTCAACTCTTCGATGGGTTTTGGAAGGTGTTCTCTCCATTCAGGGAGCATTGTGAGGCCACTCCTAACTTAATGAACTACATGGATGATGTGGCTAAGTAGATATTAGAGATTATTGTTACTTAAAATATTATTATTAAATTACTAAATACTAATTATTAAAATATTGTTACTTGAACAAACTAAAATTAGCTAATTACTAAAGGTGATTTGCAGAAATTGTGCCCATCAGTGGTCTTTTTTTCTTTCTTTTTTTTTTTTTTTTAGTTTCAGGAATTTAGTGAAAAATAAATAAATAATAATAATTTTTAATTATATAAATACTATAATTCCAGCTAAATAAATAATTTATTCAATTGGAATTTAGTGATAAATAAATATCTATTTATTTTATATTTTATTTATTTTATTAATTTATAATCTAGTGATTTTAGAATTTAGTGATTCATCACTTACCTATAACACCCAGTGCTCATCACATCAAATGCCCTCCTCCATGCCCATCACCCCTTTTGCCCATCTCTCCATCTACCTCCCCTCCAGCAACTCTCAGTTTTTCTTCCATAGTTAAGAGGCTGTTTTGGCCTTATTTTATTTTTCCTTCCTTTCTCCTTTGTTCATCTGTTTTGTTTCTTAAATTCCACCTATGAGTGAAATCATATGATATTTTTCTTTCTCTGAATTACTTATTTCACTGAGCATAATACACTCTAGCTCCATCCGTGTCATTGCAAATGGAAAGGTTTCGTTCTTTTTGATGGCTGCATAGTATTCCATTGTATATCACTGTACATCACTTCTTTTTCTATTCATTGGTTGATGGACATAAGGGCTCTTTCCATACTTTTGCTATTGATGATAGTGCTGCTATCAATGTTGGGGTGCATGTGCCCCTTTGAATCACTATTTTTATATCCCTCAGATAAATACCTAGTAGTGAGTCGTTGGGTTGGAGGGTAGCTCTATTTTTCACTTTTTGAGGACCCTCTATACTGTTTCCAGAGGGGCTGCACCAGCTTGCATTCCCACCAACAGTGTAACAGGGTTCGCCTTTTTCCACATCCTCGCCAACATCTGTTGTTTCCTGTGTTGATTATTTTAGCCATTCTGACAGGTGTGAGCTGGTATCTCACTGTGGTTTGATTTGTATTTTCCTGATGATGAGTGATGCTGAGCATTTTTTCCTGTGTCTGTTGGTCATTTGTCTGTCTTCTTTGGAGAAATGTCTGTTCATACCTTCTGCCCATTTCTTAACTGAATTCTTTATTTTTGGGGTGTTGAGTGTGGTAAGTTCTTAACAGATTTTGTGTACTAGCCCTTTATCTGATACATCATTTGCAAATACCCAGGTTGCCTTTTAGTTTCGTTGACTGTTTCCTTTGCTGTGCAGAGACTTTTCATCTTGATGAAGTCCCAACACTTCATTTTTGCTTTTGTTTCCCTTGCGTCTGGAGATGTGTCAAATAAGACATGGCTACAGCAGAGGTCACAGAGGCTGCTGTCTGTGTTCTCTAGGATTTTGATGTTTTCCTACCTCACATTTAGGTCTGTCATCCATTCTGAGTCTATTTTTGTGTGTGGTGTGAGAAAGGGGTCCAGTTTCATTCTTCTGCATGTGGCTGTCCAGTTTTCCCAACACCATTTGTCGAAGATACTATCTCTTTTTCCATTGATATTCTTTCCTGTTTTGTCAAAGATTAGTTGACCATAGAGCTATGGCCATCAGTGATGTTTCTAAAAAGGCCTGCCAACCACAGAGCAATAAAGGCACCCAGGAAAGAGATAAGACGTTTTCCAAAACACTTCCAGGAAAGAGTGACCCTGAGTTTTGGAGAAAGCATCGTTCCTGACACAGATAATCTTTGTGGGACCTCTTCTAAAGGCATGTAGATAAACGATTATACAGGCTGTTGCTCGCTACAGCTGTAGCTGACTCCTTCCATAGCCCCGAGTCTCACAAGAGAATAGCATATCAAGGGACGAAGTTATTCTTAGAAAAACAGATGAAATTCCTAATAAATTACTTTGCTTAGATTTTACAGTTTCCTGTTGTAGGAAGCTTCACAAATATGCTTCAGGAAATCAATTCTCAAGAATAACACAGGTTGGCAAACAGGATGTAGCCAACCTAGGAATGTGAAGGGTTGAATTTAGCATGCTTTGGCACAAAATTCAAGGACTTCGTCCTTTAAAAATTATTCTTTATTTGATTTTTTTGTATTACTGAATTTCTTGGGTTTGTTTTTAATTGCCAAATTGTTTTACATTCTTTCACGGATAGGTGATTATGAACAGAATATCTCGCAAGAGACCCTGATCAACAATTTACATTTCTAATAAGAAAAAAAAAAAAACCCTACTTCTTCCCCCACCCCCCATTTCTTTATTTATAGCATTATTCCCAAACTAAGGCTATTGGGAAGGCCGTTCTAGTCCAGTTAGATACAAGGGCATGGCTTTAAGTTACTAAAGCCAATATTTGCTCCATCTTAAAAGAATAGAGAACCAGAAGAGGAACTCATATTTTCAATTTGATTGGGATTCCTGCTTCCTTGCTACACGATTTCCTTCCTCTTAACTTGTGAGTACTTGAATGGGGCATGGTCACATGAACACCCACGAATTTAATTTTAGAGATACAACAGGAGAAGTCTAGAAGTTTTAGGTCTGGTCAAGAGATTGATCTCATGAATTTTATAGAATTAAAGGAGCTGTAGACTTTTGTCCTACGTGATGCTTCTCTCGTGTGTGGCGTAGACAAAGGACGTGTTTGCTGCCAGGTTGGTCAAACGTATTTCCTGTTGACTAACTTTGGTCTTGACTCGATTACCACTGCAGTACACATATTTGCCTATAGTTCCCACGTTCATTTTCACCCACTTAAAAAATAGCCTTTTCTGTATGTATTTTTTTTATTCTGTTCAGTTAGCCACTGTATAGTACATAATTAGTTTTTGATGTAGTGCTCAGTGACTCATTAGTTAAGTAGAACACCCAGAGCTCATCACAGCACGTGCTCTGTGTGCTTTCAAAGAAGGAATCTTGATCAAGTGCTTGTATGGAAACAGAATGAGGGATATGAACCGAAGAAAGCCACTTAATGTGATCAGGATGGTTATAAAAATATTTAAACACCCCAAACAGAAGAACCTTCCATACTTATAAGGAATTTAGTTTCAGCTCTAAAAAATATTTACACCCATTTTAAGTGGCAAAGTCAGTAGCCACTGACCATGAAACCATAAAACAGAAAATTACTCCCTCTTAAAATTTTACAGGCTGCTCTGTAAAAATACAGTCGGGATCTGACTTGAAATTAACCTGGCAGCAACAAAAACCAATCTTTCCAATGACTTCCATAGCGGGGATCACATATAGGGCTTGCAGGTTCAAAGAAAACCAGAGGGCAGCTCCTTCGAGCCAGAAATCCAGAGTGGGTGCCATCCTCCCAGACGGCCACTCCCGCTTCTTCATTTAGTGCCTGTTTATATGAATTACCAGTACTCACCAGAAAAGAGGAAAACATTTGTTGTGTATATTCTCTAAGAAGATTAGGTCAGGCACTAAGTGGAGAGAAAACCATAGTCAGCAGAACCTTACTCCTTCTGCTCCTTAAGACAATGGAGTACTAAGCCATGTTCTGTTCGCAAAAAATGTGGAGGAAGTCATGGTTTTTTAGAAGGGCAATGTTCTGTTTGTTTAATGGAGATGCCAGAGTAGACTCAGAACACCCCCTGTCTGAGGGCTGGGGCAAAGGGGACACTGCATTTTCAGAGCAGGGATGGTGCCAGAATGAGGTGAAACCTCTTCTTTAATTGATAGAATGGAGCAGGGGTCCCCTGTGGGGCAGTGTATCAAAGCTATTTCCCTCTTAAATTAATAAGAAATAAGGCCTAAATATTCTTCCAATTTTGTTCCCTTTATAAACATGTAGAGCCCCAAAATGAAAAAAAATTATCCTTATAGAGCAATAAACCTAGGTATCTGCCTTCCAAGCTTATTGTTATTATGAAGACAAATTGGACAGGAGCTAGGAGGTCGAGCAAGCATTTGCAGTGGTAAATAGTTAAAAAGCTCAGACTTCTGGCTGTTGGGGCTGGAGGCAGAACCATTCAAAATCATTCTGGTAGTAATGTTTGGTGAGACCACAGTCCATCTAAGAAACCGAGTGATGAGGGCAACCCCAGTGCCCCAGTGCCCTGGTTCATCTCAGTGCTGGGGGGAGTCCTGGATTGGAATGATTTGACCAAAATCCCAGTTGAAACTTTTTCTCCATAAGAGGGGTAGACAGGCTTCCACTGAGTTATTTTTTACACACTGACCTAACCTGTGTATGACCTGATGCGTGGTTTGGTTTTTATAAATAGTCCCTAAAATATTATGGGATCTAGAAGACCATAAATAGAGCTAGAAAAAGGTAGAGTTACATATAAGAACCATGAAAGGTAATGGCCTACTTTTACACAGTTGGTAAAAGTAGAGCTGTTGGAGAAATGCAAGGAGGTGAGTGGAACATTGCCATCAGCCCCTTGGTGCCCTCGACTTACCATGACGATTCCTCCTGACTGCTCTGCGGTACACATGCTCATGATCGGTGCCATGCCAATGGTCGTCCCTTGGAAATAAACCCCACTGAGAAACAAAAAACAAAACAACTTTCTTAAATTAATATAGAATGAGGACATTTCCTAACATTAGAAATCATTTTGGCCGTTCTTGCATTCCAAAAAGAAGAGCACGGACATGTGCAAAAAGGAAGAGAGCCACGGGGGGCATGTTTACAGGTGATTTGTGTCCTTAATTCCTCTCAAATGTATTTTGCATTGTGGTCCCATAATCCCTTCAGATTTTTGTTTGCAACACTCAGACTATGACCAGTCATGACCTTTGTACTTATGAGTTGTATCCTGCCTATTTCCTATGGATTAGAGGGTCCTGCTCCTTTGAAACATGTGCTGATGGAATAGAGGGTCCTGCTCCTTTGAAACATGTGCTGATGGAAATGGTAGGAAGAGTCACAGAGAATCACTGGCAACTAAATGAAATGCGCATGGTGGTTTACTAGATTTTCTGTTTTAGCTGAACTTGGTTTCCTGTGAACCATTACAATTAATCCAGAAACCCAAACTCTTTCAAGTGTCTTGCTAACATAGTTGGCAACAATGATGGTGGTGGAGAAATGATTGATCTTCAGGAGCCCGTGCAGAATAAAAACCCACGTCTGGAGGAAGCCTCCGCACACCCGGAGGAAGGTTCCAGTAGGGGATATTGTAGCTTAGGTGCAGGCTTCCCCCCATGTGGATTCTTAATGTGGAGTCTAATGACATGAAGCCCTGTTTAATGCCAGTCCTCTAAATGTGACCCTCGTGCATTAAAAATGAAACATTGTTCGTATTTGTTGAATCTCCTTTAAATGACTTACTCATGTTACCTTGACCACGTACATACATAGCCTATACATATTCTGTTTGAAAAGTCAGTTATTTTGATAGTGTTCGACTGGACAAAAGGGAATAAGTCTATATAAAATCTTATCTGTGTATATATGTATATGTTTATCCTTCCATCCCTTCCTATCATACTCATATGTGCAGTAGTTGAGGTTATAGGTTTTATATTTACATCTATATAGACCATTTTAACAGATACAATTATATATATATGTATATATATATAAAATAAGAGGTTAATTTATTTCCAGATGTTCAAGTTGGACAGACTCCATTTGGGAAAAAGAATTAAAACAAAATACTCTGACTCAAAATTTCTAAAATGTACTTTAAGTAGTTTGGGATTAATCAATGCATAAAATATGAGGCAACCGCAAATATCCAGGGTGGGAAAAAAAACAAACAACCCCGTGAAAATGACCAGAGTAAATTATCAGGGAATGCCAAAAGCCTTAGTTCATACGTAGGCATTTTCTAAAGTGAGGATGGGGTAAGAATGGTTTTTAACTTCCCTTAATTTTTTTTCAAAGGTTTTATTTATTTATTCTAGAGAAAAAGAGAGAGAGAGAGAGAAAGAGCATGCACACAAGCAGGGGAAGGGGCAGAGGGTGAGGGAGAAGCAGATCCCCCCCAAGAAGGGAGTGGGGCTTGACCCCAGGACCCTGAGATCAGGACCTGAGCTGAAGGCAGATGCTTAACTGACTGAGCCACCCAGGTGTCCCATCTTCCTATAATTTTTTAAGGAACTAGATATAACTTGCCAAAGAAAAATGACCCCAAAGCTTCCAATTCAGTGAAATGAGCTGCATGAGAACATAGGAATAACAGCATCAACTGTTTAAGGGTCTTAATAAAAAGTTGGTCAATTTGGGGAAAATCTACTCCTTACCAATGTGGATGATAAGAATTTTTTTCTTTTAAATATAAAGGTGTTTGAATATCTTTCCAATATATTATATTATAGCTCTACTTTCCCTCATTTTATTATCTTCATGACCCAATACTACTGTTGCCTTCTCCCAGTGGACTGGGGACTCCTGAGAGCAGGGAGGCTTACAGTGCTGGTCATCACTATGTTCAAAGGACCTAAAACATACTTGCTTCCTGACTGGTGCTCAATACACACTGGCTGAAAGAACGCAGACCCCTAGGGTCCTCTGATCTAGAAAACCAGAGTCATGGCGAAATAGGAGGAGGAATGAACATTTCCTTTCTCCAGGCATCTGGCAGTAATTATCCTAATGCATCATCTTCACATCTTGCATAAACATTTTTCACTAATAGTGAAAGAAAATGAGGGTTTTTTTTTTTAATAGCCTACTCAGGACATTTTATATTAAGACAAAGACTAGAAAGATTTGCAGAGAGGAAAATGTCCAGGTGATGAAAAAAGAAAATAAGACATCTCTTACAGGGATAGGTTTCCTCAGGGATTCAAAGGAAGGCTTTCCTGATGGACCCCCAGTTTGGTCAAGATCAGTGCCCCACTGATGTGGACCGGAAAGCACCCTGGTATAAGGTTCTGCAGTTTTGGGGACTGCCAGGTGATGCTAAGAGGAGAGGGGGTTGCTGAGGTCACTCTTTAAGCAAAGCAGAGACAATGGATCTCCCTACCTGATGAGCTGGGCATTGTCATGCGATTTGCGAGGTAGAAGCTTCATCTTTCTCCAATCCAGAAATTCATGGAGGCTTGTGAACGGGTCCTGACTTATGGAGCATTTGTCGATGTCATTCCACACCTCCACACCCACAAGCACTATCCGAATGTTCAGGGATCTGTAAAACTGAACAAGACAAGCACCCTCTGGGGATCACATTCATAAGAGCTCAAAATGCAGAGTAGAACATATTTGCATGTTTTGAATTTCACTGACATGGGTGAGAAAAAGATCTTTGTCCTCCCTTGTTCCTACGGCACTGGAATTTAAGAAGTATTTGCAGTGTCTGATGCAAAGTGATGTGTTCATTGGGTTTCCAATGTTGTTGACCAGTTAGATGCCAAAGTTCATAGGCTTTTTGATGTCGGCCCTTACTTGTATGGAAGCACACAGTTCACACGGTTCACTGGCGATTGAAAATGTGCAGATAAATGTGTACTATCCCTAAAGTAGCTACATTATACCTAAAGACTGCCCATGAGTAACTACTGTGGGAAAAACAATGAGGGAATTAGGATCTTTCAGACACTCTGCCAAGGACAATAATATGTTCCTTTAAAGCAAAATGTTCTACCTATGAGTTACTGAAAATGAATCTGCAGTAATTTTTCAACAAAGACTCAGACCTGGCTGATGCGATCACATTCCATCACTTATAATCTACCTAGAAGGTTTTAGTTAAATGCACAAATCAGTCTTTTGGAACAATAAAGCCATATGCTGAACCCTTCTTCTGGAACTTCAGTGACCATCTTCTTCACAGCCGGAAGTTAGCTCACCAGCGGCATCACGGGAAGGATCTTCTAGAGGAAGTTCCTGTTTCATAGGCTTGTGAAATCAAGCTTCAGATATACACCAAAGCATCTTCTCATTGCCTGTCTGTCTCCTGTCTTTATATACTCCCGACTTGACTTCAAACTACAGCCCTTTCTCCACAAGCAGATCATCCCGGGGCAGAGGTAGGAGGAGCAGCTCTTCAGATGGCTAAGGGATAGTCTGGTCTGGGACAAGATGTCAGGACAGAGGGAGGATCTACCCACTGCCTCCAACTCTCCCGCTGCCCGCCATGTGCATTACAACGAGGAGGTGGCTCTGCGCTTGGGGCCCAGGGGGTGAGGACATGGGATCACCAGGGTGCTGTAAACTCTTCGAGTGCCCGTGATGGGTGAGGTGAGATGCAATGGGCAATGGGCACGTCCTCATTTTCTGATACTCCAGGTAGCCCAGGAGAAAGATGTAGCAGCCCAAGTCAGGCTTCAGATGTGAGCTGGTCCCATTTTATGCTACATGCATCTTGGACAAGTAGCAAAAGTCATAGAGGCTTCTCATTGGATGGTTAAGTGCCATCCGGATTTGGAGAGTTAATGGGCCATACGGTCCCCAAGTCTGAGCATCTGACCCCTGTTCTGACCCACCGGGGACAGGCTCATCGCTTCCCCGGCCGATCTCCCCGCAGTCGTCTGGTGAGCCTTAGGTTAGCCCGAGGCTGTGACTGGAACGCACACAGCGTCACAGAACGTAAGCTGGCCGCAGCGGTCCCACCGGGCTTCAAGCAGATCACAATTACAGGCATTACATTAATAAGTTAATGAGACAATTCTCCGACCTACATGCAGCCCAACAGCTTGTTTTCAATCAAGAAATGCTTGCTGTGTGGTATGGACTTGCAAGCTCCCAGCCCAGGCTTCCCGGGCAGAATGAAGCTCCCGGACTCTTCTGGAACTGGAAGCTGCCCGTGTCCGGCTGCTGCCCTTTGGCCGGGAGACCACATTTTGCACTGTGTTAGGCAGAGGTAACAGTGATCAGGAGGCGGAAACGTCCGAGCTCCAGGGCTGAGGTCCACACCAGCTCGCTAAGCCCTAACTCAGAGCCAGATGCCCCATGTGGGCTTCACGTGGTCATCTGTGAAGGGGACACTGAGTTTGCCTCTGACAAGGATGGTTGACTAAGGTCTGTAAAAAAGCACTGTTCCTCAGAGCTAGCCTCAGTGCTGGCCAACAAAGGAGCCTGCCGTGGAATGACGGGAGAGAAGCTGGGCGGGAGCCTGGCAGCAGCCTGCCCAGCCCACGCACCCCAGAATGTAGGGGTGCAGCCCGAGAGCGGCGGCATTGAGTCACCCACGGATACCGCGGCAATGGGCATTTGTTTGGCTCCTGCTGTATACCAGGCTTGGCCCTGGCACCAAGAACAAGGATTAGGACACCCTTGTCCTTGGCTCCCAAATGCTCAGAGGTCAGCAAGAGGATCAAAGCTGGGGACACTTAGCCACTGTGACAGTCCACTCCAACAGACTGAACTACCAAGAAAGGGCGCGAACAGGAGGTTCACAGGGTGCTGTGCTGAGGGTCAACGAAGCCTTTCTGAAAGAAGAGGGTCTGAAAAAAATGAGTGGAGGAAAGAGGAGACCCGGTGGGGGCCGACGCAAGAACCTGTACCCTTCAGGCGACCGGCTTGGGAGAGGGGAAAGGAGACTCCCATGAGCTGGAAAATACCTGAAGAAATTAAATGCACAGAAGATAAGCCTGTTCGGAAGCAGGTCACAGAGGGTCTACGCCAGTGAACCTGCCGCTGGTGTTAAGCTCTTACTGGATACGAAGTGGGACTGGTGGGAGGTGAAATGTTAAAGCGGAGAAGCCTGGGCGATCACATACGTCCAGCGCTCTGCCCTGCAGGCGAATCAGGACCCGGGAGCGCCTCCTCATTTCTAGGCATGAGCTTGGCTTCCAGCTATGAGCATCCGACCTGCTTTCCATGTTTTACTTACGGGGGGCGGGGGTGGTTTCCAGGATGCTTCAGAATGTCACCTTTGTATTCAATGACTTCCTGGTCTTTCAGTCCGGGATGTCCTTCTCCTTCTTCCTTTCAGGCCAACCCAGCCAGCCAAGCAGTGGTTACTTCAGAATGGCCAAGGAGAGCCAAGCTTTATGCAAATGAGGAAGTTGCCACTGGAACCGTCATTGTTTTGGGGCCTAGATACTCCCACTTGGAGAGAGACAGAGGTGAACTTTTGAACATCTGCCAGAGCTCAGGGCTGGTCAGTTGGCAGACTTGGGTGTGCAGAGTACCTGGAGGAGCCCGGGTCCCGCAGCACGCTCTTCAGGGTCTGCTGGGGGTGGCCGGATGGGTGAGCTCGGCCATTCAGCTCTCTCTTGGCCAGAAACGCAAGAACTGCCAGGCTGGCAAACTCCATGGAGTCCATCAGGTCTTTCCTGAGGTATGTGGTCCTTTAATTACTAGTGCGAGTTATTAACAACTCCCCGATTGCCAGGGTACCCAGGCAGCCATGCTTTTAAAAGTTTCCCTGTGACTCCAACGTGCGGGCAGGTGTGCAAAGCCCTGTGTTAGAGGGAGGGCGGTCAGCCCCAGGTGGCCGGATAGCTTTGTTCCTCGGGGTGCAGCTGGGGGGCAGCGGCTCAGACAGGTTCACTCTCTCCTTTCAAACAGGTAAAGAGTGTTGCTGCTTTCCTGCCCCTGGGATTAGCCCAGACTTCTGGGGTTTCCTCCTGGTCTGGATCACCTTTGCCAAGGGTGAGCTCCCAATCTCCTCGTTCTCGGTGAGCAATCTTCCAACAGTTGATTGAACCAAAAGCCAATTTCCGTGTCTCAGGATGGTGGAGCCTATGTGTCACTTGTAAATGACAGCCTGCCCTCAGGGGAACTCTGGACACAATCCAGGGATACCTGGGTTAAGAGGCCTCTTGGGAGTTCTCCAGAGAGTCAGTTTCATCCTACTGGGGTTTTGGCTCTAACTGGGGAAAGTGAGACCCGCTCCCCCCCCAACAACACACTGGGATTCTGGCCAGAAGAGAGCCTGGAGGGAGACGTAGCCCAAGGCCACCACAGTCCAGACCGTGTGCACGGGTTGGCGTCTGCCAGAGCTGCTCCAGACTGGGAATTCTGTGCTCAGAGGAAGGACAAGTCATTGTTCCAGCCCAGGACCAGAACCCGGTCTCCCTGCCAAGTCAGACGAGGTGTACTCCTTTCCCTCCACCCTGTTTCTAAACATTTACGTGCTTTGAATGATTTAATTACCCGAAAAAGAACTTACCTTGTCAACGTGATTAGCAATCTCTATTAATCGCTGCTTAACTTTTTCCAGATCTTTTCCTTGCCTCTGAAACTTAATAATTTTAAATGTCAGCATTAACAACAGCAAGAATATCAATCAAATCTCATCTTCCCAGCTCCTGGAAACGTGAAGTCTTAAGCTTCCCAAACCACCCGGGACCCTCCACGGCTTACAGTGAAATGAGTTCCCATCCTGACGAGTAATTTCCCCGTCTGGGGACTTTCTGCAACTCCTTGAAATTTGCCCAAGCCAAGTGCTCAGAAGACAGTAACTTCTGCGATTTTTCCAGCCTCATAAATGATGGAGGCCGTGACATGTTTTGGCAGAGAAAACAGACAACGAGAAGGCAGTCCAAAGCCATTTTTCATATCATCAACTTGATTTTAACTTCCTCAGAAATTTCCTTTATATTTGTTTTTAAAAATTAAACAGTAAAAGTAATAGAAACTCATGGCACCGAGTCAAACAGCAAGGAGAAGAGGGAAACGTTAATGAATTCCCCCTCTCCCCTCTCATCTGACCTTCCTGCAAGGAACGATTCTCTGAGCAACTCTCAAGCCGGTTTCATTCATAGGTGTCGGCTGATTTCCCAAGAAGAAGTTGCCTGACTCATAACTTGGACGGAGGAAGGAACGAGTGCAGAGAAGATCGTCTAAAATGATGGTGTTGGAATTGGAAACTAACTGGAGAGAAAACTAACCCAGCATCAAAGCAGGCTTCAGAAGGTAGGGTTTTCTGCTGTATACCCCCGTGGCCTGGATTCTTCACTTCATTTTGGGTCAGGAGGGATGGGACCATTTTGCACCAAACTTTTCTCCCAAATGTGTCAGAATATATTCTAAAGTCATCTGCCATTTCCCCCAAGTAACTTCTTCTGGAGACCTTAGCTCCAGAGTAGCTCTGCTTTTCCAGAAGTCCTGGTTTTTACTTGGTAATATCAGATACATTTACCATAGTTGGTGCTCTCCAATACCAAAAACCACTTTTTTCAATGGGTTGTTGCAACGTTTTTAAGGGCTCATAGAATATGGAGTTAATCAGAACAAGTAATAACTTGCTACACATTTTTGTTTCTGTATTTATTTATTTACTTATTTATTTATTTTAACCAACTGTACTGAGAAGTTTGAGAAAGTTCTTACCTCCCGGTTGTCTGCTACGATAACCAGCTCTACGTACTTGGTCATCTTGAGGGTTTCTCTTTTATGCTGCCAAAAGCAAACACAGATTTGATTTCCCTTCACACCTCTCTGGGGCTTCCAGAACACTGCCTGTATCTCTGGACCCCAGCACTTTGCCTAAGGGGAGACGATCTTCACCACCGCCACTGGCAGCACCCCCCCCCCCCCGTTCCCTCTAAAAGTTCATTTCCAACCCCAACGACCTCTGTCAAACCTCCTGCGCATGAGTGACTGGTTTCCCTTTCCATATGGGAAATCCTTAAGAAAGGAGTGCAGCAAGCCTGCGGAATCACAGATGGCGGAATCAGAACAAGTCAAGATCATTATTCCATGAGACAGGCACATGGCAAACAAGACAAAACCCTCTGGAACAGGAGCCAGCTGACGGCCACTCCATTCGGGCGGCACGTGGCACAGAGCAGATCCCTCCAGAAGATGACGGATTCAGTGTCTTCTATGTGTTGCTTTCCCCTTTACGATCGAGTGTTGGGATTTGAAGAAAGTGAAAGAGAATGTATTTTGAGGAGAGACTGCATGACCCTTCTGGGGAAACACTAAATAGTCCCCTTCGGGCAGCTGATTTCTTGTGGCTGATCATGTAAACATCAAGTTAGGAGCAAAGGACGATGGTGGTCTGGAGACTAGGGAACAGCCAAGCTGATAAATGGAACAGAGTCAGGTGAAGAGGTGGTGCTAGGAGTAAAGCCAGAAGGAAACAGAAGAGACAGAATAGAAAGAAACAGAGTCAAGAAAAAATAAAAAGACTGAACTATTTGCCACGGGATCAGAGGGCTGGTGGGAGGGGGAGTGGAGCAGTTGGGAGGAATAAGGAAACTGCACATCAAGGGGTACGGATGGAGAAGATGTCGAACTCCCTCTGAACTAAAGGCAGCCTCTGAAGTGGGTTACATTTTAATCAAGTTTCCTCAAAAAAACATTTGCACTCTTCCATGAATTACTGGGAGAATCCCAAAGGCATTTTTAGGAGAAAAAGAGCAATTCATGGAGGGTGGTCTCAAAAAGCAAACATTAAAAACAAAAAACAAAGCCTTCTGTTTCTGCAATAAAATGTGGTTGGAGGAAACGGGGGCTGAGGTGGGCTTGGTCCTCGCCAGCGATGGCCTGGTTTCTGTGTCAACGGCACTGTTTCACGTTTAAAACTCTCATGATCTAACCACGCTTTCAGACAAAAGCAAAAATGACCGAGGCATGCTTTGAATCAGCTTTCCAGTCACATAATCCTGAGGGACACATCTTTTATAAAACAAATCCCCGTCAGTCCGGGATCTTCTAAACAGAGTTTTACAAGAAAAATGTTTGTATCATAGCAGTGTTCCTGTTCACTGCCCAAACGTGCTGATTCATGAATTTAGGGATCCCTCAAGAAATCTGGAAACCTTATGGAGAAGGGAAAAATAAAGCACCAGGAAAGGTATAATATCTCATACTTTTACAAGGTTATGAGAAAAAAAAAAAGTCAAGCTTAGTGACTACGTGTTGCAGGCGTGCTTCCTGGTGATAACTATACACTCAGAGAGGAAGGAAAATGAACCCCAGTGGTACCCACTGGTGTCCCCAGAATGAGCCACCTTTGAAAGGGGCGAAGATCTTACCCCTTTTCCTTCTTGAGGTGTGAAAGAAGCTGATGTCTCTGTCTGTCCCTTCCCACCCCCCGTGCCAACTTCCGATTACCCCTGAACAGATACAGCTAATCATACAAAAGAACATAGAGCTCTGTGGCAAAAAAAAAAAAAAAAAAATTAATCTCCCCTCGAAAAACCCGCTGAAAGGGGCTTGGTTGTTTAGATGTTTATACCTTTCAGACCACGAAGGGGTGAAATAAATGACCGGGGGATTTTTCCAAGTGGCCTTGGATCATCGTTTAGAAAATACACAATTCCAGATAATGAAAACAAACACATGAACACAATTTTCCTGTCTCTGCAGTTTTCAGAGAAGTCCAAATTTTCTCATGAATTCAGAGAAATGCAAGCTCAGAGAGCAGCCTAACCACATAATAATAAAAATCCATGGGGGAGGGGCCAGCTCATGGCCGCGAACATTCATTCTTCCATCAGCAGCACACAGAGAGGCTTAAATTACCTCCACATGACTTCGACCTATCTGGGCTGTCCGGTTAAAAAAAAAAAAGAAATCATATTTAAAATTTTTGATATGCAGAGCAACATTTGAAACTGGTGGCTTGACTGAATTTTCATTTTTGGGGTTATAAACAAAAGCCCTTCCCCAAACAGATAGGAGCATTAGCGTCTGAGGATGGCCCAGCGGTCTCTGTTCCAAGGCGGAGACCGAGGCGTTCTCTGAGTCTTGCTCAAGAAGGAACCAGTTCCCGGGCCTCTCAAAGTCATCACAGCCAAGTTCCCAGAGACAGACTATCCCCCGACAGGCCGCAGCAGGAACTCTGGCACAGGGGCCTTAACCCAGCCCAACTCAAGTCAGAAAAGCAAGTCAAGATTAAGATTTCAATAAACGCTTATCATACCTCCTCCCTCATCTGGGCCAGACTCTGTATATCTTTTATGTACCCCACAGATATCTACGATGGCTCTCTCTGCGTGTTTGGCACTAGGTTGGGTGCTGGGGACAGATGGACAGACAAGAAACCCAAGGTCCTGGGCTCATGAGGCTCCCATTCCAGGAGGGGTTAGGAGACAGGGTGACAATAAAAAACATCAACAAAAATAAAGCTTAGTCTGTAGAAGGGGCAACAATAGACATAATCAGCATTGTGCAAGGAGAATAAAGATGGGGGCGTGTGATGAAGGCAGCTGTGGCCTGAGGATGAGAGGTCTGTATGTGTGCGGGGAACAGTGTTCAGGTAGATGGAACAGCAGCTGCAGAAGTTCTGAGGCTGGGAGACCTTGGGGTGTCGTGGCAACAGGCAGGATGGCTGCATGGTCTAGAGAGGGAGGGAGGAGTGTAGATGAGCTATGGATGGGGAAACCGCGGCCAGGGCAAGGAGGCTGAAGCATCCCCCAGTGACCTGAGCGCAATGGGGAGCCCCTGCACGGAAGCACGCTGGCTGCTGGGAGAATGGATCATGGGAAGACAGTAGTGGAAGCCAGGAGTGAAGGTGATTGCTGGTGACAGTTTGGGACAGGAACCGTGGAGATCGGCAAACAGGTTCCAGCCGGGTGTGATACAACCAGCAACACAAGAACCGCAACAGTGAAGCCGGGGCCCATGCTTCTGTAGGTGGCCAGATCAGCAAATTAAATGAATCCAGTTTGGTTTGATTTTCCTCTGTGTGAAAAAGGGTCTCCGTCGGCTCCCGTGAGGCGGGGTGCCCAGACTCTGAGGCCGCTTCGTGAATATTTATGAGCTGATCCCTGGTCCCTGCCTGCCAGGCCCTCTCGGCCGTCCTGCCACTGGCTTGTGCGGGGTTCAGGGGGTGGGGGGTGAAGTACACAGATCACATCCGTGTGGGATACGGCCCCTGGGGCCCCACTGATGGGCGAGCTGCACAAGCAACCGGCAAGGGAGACAGTGAGCCGGAGGACGGGCTCCGCCTGACCGGCCGAGTGCGAACAGGCACACGGGCAACATGCGGAAGTGGGGTCCGCAAAGCCAAAGGCAGCAGCAGCTCTGTTACTCATTGATTCAGAGTTTTAGGGGACGTAAGTGTCAGCAGGAATCTGCACCTGGACAGTTTGGAGGCTCAGCTCATGCGGAGGGAGGTCGGAGCTCAGGGCCAGAGAGGCCATGGCACCGAGCAAGGTCCGGGAGGGAGCAGCCAAGCGGCCCAAGGAGCTGATACGGGCGCTCGGGGCAGGTGTGGGCACGCAGGTGGTCGAGTCCGAGAGGCGGCAGCCGTGCCCGCTAGAAAGACGGAGGCCACGTGGTTCTGGCCCCTTCCTGATGCTCAGCTCTGCTCAGGCTCGGCACGGGCTGTAGACTCCTGTTGCTGCTGCTCCCGCCGCCGTGACCGTCTTCCACGGAACGAACGGGGGAGGCTGTCTAGGGATCGAAAGCCATCGCGCAGGCCCATCGCAGAAGGGCCGTGTTCGAGGACACGCGGCAGCTGGAGCGAACCCGGCTTCCTACAGGAAGTATTGCCTTTTCCATTTGACTCATAATTACCCACGCTAATGGAGGGGAACCACAGCGCAGATAATCCCCAAAGAAGGGGTAATTCAAACATAATTTACATTTGCCTTTGGGAGGCATTATGTGATTTTTCTCCTGTAGTGAATTTCCCAAGGCTTCGCCTCTCTCTGGCCCAGGCCAGTGTTAGAATCAGTCTGCCTTCTGGCCCGGCTCCTTGACGGAGGGAAGGAGCGTGGCGAGTCGGAGGGCGGCTGAGCGGGGCCAGGGCACTAGGGAGGGCTGGGGTGGGGGGGACTCCGGGACCCTGCAGAGGCGAGGTCGCATTACAAGGCCCTGTGACCGCAGGCGCCCTTCCAGGAGCCACTTGGGTTCTCACTCAAATCGAACGTAGGGCCTTGTAAAAATGACAAACCATAGCTCGAGCCTGTATTATTGCCGGTGCAAACCCCGAGTGCTGATTTATTCCTGCTGCTCTGTGAAAGGAAACGCAAGTATCTGCAGAAAAACCTCAGCCTGCAAACCAGTCTTCGCCCTAGTTAACATTTAGCGGGGGCAGAAGATGCTGGCGGAAGGCTGGCACGGCTGCTGCATTGCATGAACAGGAGGAGCCTGCAGCAGTTACGTTGATTTTTTTTTTTTTTTTTTTTTTGAGTGTAAAATCAAGGGGTGGGAGTGAGGCAGGTGAGTGCCTCTTTCATGTTCACGGAGTTGTTGTCCCAAAGCACGTGGTCTCCCATTCCAATCCCCAAGGAGTCCCCTTATTTAAGAATCACGTTTCACATCGTTTTCGTTATGTAGATGTACTTTGTGTCATATTTTTCTCTTCCACTGAAACAATCACAAGGATTTTTAGAGAAAAATGTTGAGGACGGAGCTGTTGCCTTCCCTTTTCAATTTAAAGGTTCATTTGCACCCCAATGTGCGTTATTAACAAAACAACATTGTTATTCAGGTTTTGCGCTCTCCTCTCTGAGTTGGAGTGACTGGAAATTACGGTGCCAACCACAGTCCTAGACAGCCAGAGGCTTCGTTAAGGAACTAAAATACCGCTGGCAAGCAGACACCGAGCCTTGTACTTCTGCGTGAAATGGCAAATGTATTCGGGTGTCACTTAAACTGTCAAGTTATAAATCTCACAACGTGGGCCCCATACATTCAACAAGGTGATCAAAGACAAGCGCCTTGAAAACAAAATGCAAATGTCCTCCTTGTTTATGACTGGAAGACCTACAGCTTAATCACCTCTTCTCTGAGGTCTGGAATGAAGGCGAGAGTGTTTGAAGAGTAAAATAAACATGACCTGGGACCGTAGAGACTGTAGAGACGGGTCTCTGTGATTCCAAGTCTTCAATCTGTCACTCTAAAATGGGGGGGAGGAGGGAGAAAGGCAGGACGAAACTCTCTCAAGCTGCTGTTCACATGTGGGGGGCGATTTTTTTCAAGCTCTGATCCCTGGGTCTCCACTCCTGAGTATCTGTGTTAAGGTGGGTCACCGTCCCAGACGGGGGCTCTCCCCCTTCTGTGTGATGGGGGAGGAAGGACAAGGAGGCAGCACACACCCGCCATCGGAAACCTTGTGAGCAAACTAAGAAATAGAGGACAACAGGGTCACACAGGCAGAACACAGGGACAGGAAGAAAGAATGAAACGAAAGTGAAGGTTAGGGAAACACAATTCACAGGTGCAAGGGAAATTTTACAAATGAGAAGAAATCATTTAGGATCATGTTTCCTGTTTGAACTCGGAATAAAAATGATGAGGAACGAACAAAGAGGAATAATCCTTACGCAGTACTGAGTGGTGAGTCAGGAAAGAGGAAATGTGCTGTCTTTTAAGTGGAACCTTGAAGAACATGTCTCTAGACCACCCAGTGTTAGCACATTTGACATCATATCCATGAAATCCTGATGTCTTGTCAACAGAGGAACAGGAAAGCCAGAGACAAAAATCAGGAAATTGTTCAGAATTTCCTATCTGGTTGTACTCATTCAAAGTCAGGGCCCCCAGCCAAATGTGGCTACCCTCACTCCTTTTTCAGAGTGTTCTACGGCTGGGGCACCTGGGTGGCTCAGTGGGCTCAGCCTTCTGCTCAGGTCATGGTCCCAGATCCTGGGATCAGAGCCCCACATAGGTTCCCTGCTCAGCGGGGAGCCTGCTTCTCCCTCTTCCCCTGCCCCTCCCCCCACTCATGCACGAGGTCTCACTCTTTCACTCACGTTCTCTCTCTCAAATAAGTAAAATCTTAAAAAAACAAGAGTGTTCTACCACGGCCTGTGGCACCCAAGTAATACTAAAGGGTCAGGCAACCATTTGGGGTGGAGATTTCCTGATAACGCACCAGAGAGTACCAGAGCCCCTGTGTCTCTGTCAGCTTAGCAGGCAGGAAGATCTGTGGCCCGGGCTTCACCAGGCAACGACTCTTCCCCCTTCTGCGGCAGAAGGAGAGAAGTTTGATGAGCAGAGCCAGGAGCAGGTGGCCAGAAAACACGGGAGTGTTTGGACAGTCTCAGGAAGGAAGGAAGGACAGGCACGGGCAGCATGGACAGTAAGCAACCCTCCTTAACCACACTGTGTGGCCAAGATTCCATTCACCTCTGCAGGGGCAAGCAGGCAAAGACTGGGGATGTTATGCAAATCATAACAAAGACCCCAGCTGTAAAACAGACTTGCTAATAAAGAAGGCTCCATATTGTCTTTCTCCTCCTGAGGAAGGAGAGCCGCCCAATGGGCAGGTGCGGGTCCATTCTTGTCTTGTTTATCATTGTGGGTGCAGTGGTGGGGTGCAGCCCTGGGTCTAGGCCCGCAGTAGCTTCTCACTGACCACAACGAATGGTAATTTTGTCGGCCTCTGAGCCAGACTTTACGCAGCACAGGCTGATGAGTCTGAGGCCGCCATTTGCAAAAACAGTGATGGAGGTTTCGGTATTCGGTGATGCTGTGCACACAAGATATGAACCACTCCAGATCCACCCCCACACAACATGCAGACAACGAAACTTCTCCAGCTATCTTCGCCCTGGAGCCCCCTAGCTAGAGCCCCCCTCCCCGGAAGCATGACCCTGATTCCCCCCTACCCTTCTTGGCCACGTCCGGGAGGGTGGTGGGAGCCAGTTCCCTGCAGGGAGCGCAGACGTGCTGTGATGTGACCCGCAGGACCCCCAGGTGCCCTTCAGCTTCTCCACCGGGAAGAGCTTGTGTTTGTTTCTTTCACTTTCCACTGGTTCCAAGATATAGGTGCTATTTTCAAATGTAATAAGTCCCCTGTTGAAGAAGAAATAAGAAAAAAATATATAATTTTAAGGGTAGTTTCTTGTTTATGGCCAAGGCTCTGTTTATAATGAGAGAAGAAATACAAGGAGAAAAGCCGATTTATTTATAACCTCAGGTTTTAATTGGGAAGGATATTTCTGAACCACATGTTTGCATGGATTCATCTTGCACGTTTTGAAAACAAGTCTGGGAAATGTTTTGTCTCAAGTATTTTACGGTAAAGAGTAGACTGTGTTTAGCCTCTATGTGTTTTTTTTTTTAATTTTGATTTATAATTTTTTTCTTCTCAAAGATATATTTCTGGGGAAAAGAGTTGAGAGATGTTTCATCTGCTTAGAAAGTAACTCTATCTGAATTAGCAGATGGGGAGGGAAATCTTTTTCTTTAAAGGAAAATCCTTGCATGTGAATTATTCAGCCCGATCAACTACACTTCCTAAATATTTGAAAGGATTCTGATATGAGGTTGAGTATAAACTTACACTTATTTATGGGAGCCGTGAATAAAGGAAGCTGTGTAGGCACATGAAGCATTAGAACTGCCTCTTGAAGGCTGAGCTCTGCCCTCTGCTCTTTGTTAGAGTTGGATCACTCCTCATAGGAACCAAGACTACTGGGAGATGCCCCAGCCCCGAGGCTGGCGAGGCAGCCTTCAGAGTCTGGCAGTCTGGGGGTAAGCTCTAGGTGCGTGACCTTGACCTCTTTGAAGCTTGGTTTCCTTATCTGGAAAATGGGACTATAATACCTATTTCTCAGGACTGCTATGTCATCCAGTTAAAACTTTTAGCCTTGTGGAGGCCATAGATCAGTGCTGAAATGGTAGTTGTCTTCTTTGTTATTAACAAGGGCACATCCATGGATTAGGCTGCTGTTAACATGTTATTCCAAATACCAAATTCCTGACAATTTCAGGAAGATCTTGTGTTTTGATAACACGTCTGCCCACAGACTGGCCATTCATGACTCCCTGACGTGAAACAGAGCAGTAGTATGATAAATCCACTTCTGGGAATGAGAATAAGAAAGAAAGAAACCTTTGAAGTAACTTTTAGATTTGGGAATAAAAGTATAAGTTCTTTTAAAAAAACAGACAAATGTGCTGAACATTCCACCTTATAGAGACAGACAGTGGTATCAGGTCATGGACCACAATGCATGTCTGACCTTCTGGAGCGGACAGAGCCTAGGCAGTGTCTGCTTCCCAGAAACGAGCAGCGCTAACCCAGAGGTGTCAGCTTCCTTCAAGTGTTGGGGAACATTGGCCTACATGATGGTTTTTGTCTCTCTCTTTTCCAGAGTGCGACAGTAAAGTACTTTAACTTAAAAGGCTCTTCTTGATATTGAAAGACAGATTTTCTTTGGAGAAATGGCAATTTGAGTAATAGTAAACTGGCAGTTTTAAGACTTCCCACATAATAACGGAAGCTTCTAGCGACTTCCATTCTTTAGCAAGGCAACCACAATCTCTCCACTAGAGAAACGCATCACATTTTCGAGTGAGACTTATTGCACTGTAAGCAGACATGCCTAACATAGTAAACCTTAACCTTTTTTGAGACATGAACCCTTTTATACTCTCCCTTGAAAAATACACATGTGTGTATATTGCAATATTTTGCAGATAATGTCTGAAGACTGGGGACTATGGATGAGGTTCAGGGGCTCCAGGTTTAGGGCAGTAGCTCCAATAAATAATTTATATTGCATCAACCCAAGGACTTGAGCCTGCCTTTGTCCTTAAGACATAGCTGAAAAAGTTGATTGCTCCATCAGCTTTCTTCAGAAAATCTCAGCCTTTTTCCAAAACAGGGACCTTGTGAAATGTTCCTTTGTCATTCATTATTGCTTATTTTAGTCATTCACTCATGTTATGCTTATCGTTCCAAGTTTAGCCTGTGTGCTGTGGAAGCAAGCACCGTTCTATGTTTATCGAAGGCCCATTTTATTTAGTTGCTTTTAGATTTTAATAGAATGATGGGATTTCAATACTCAAATAGTATGGAAGGAAGAGGTTTAAAGGAGTCAGGTGTGTATTTGGAATACAAATGGTGAGCAAATACTCGCTACTCCATTCATCGTTATTCAGCTGGTTTGCTCTATCAGTCCTATGTAATGAAGTTATAGACAAAGGCAAAGAGAAAGATCTTGCCTGGGATGCCTGTGCCCCAATTCATGTCTTTGTGTGTCTCTAGCAGATCACATGGACATGACTTTGGCCATCACCTCTGTTGGGGTGGCTTGTATCTCTCTTCTTAAAAAGTTCTTTGTGAAATAAAACTTAGATTTCTAAGTTTGGAATGGGTAACAGGGGATTTTTGTTTATTAAAGTTCATTTTAAATAGCCTCAATTAAGAAAGAGTACTTAAAAATGAGAGGCCAAGGGAATGTGGAAGACAGACACACTTGAAGGGAAAATATGGATTTGCTAAAAATCTGACCTTCCTGCCCTAAAACAAAGATGATACCAACATTTCATTTGATACCACAAAGTTTTCTCTTTTGCGTTAGCGTTAAGTAAGCTGGATGCTCCCAGTAAAACATGTCACTAAGTTGTAATCATGAGAAACAAATTACTGAAAAAGTTTTTCTACTTAATGGAAAATTTTTAGAAATTGTTACTTAGTCATAAAAATGTTCTCATATCTCCTTTTATCTTTCAAGTCATCCAAAGGCCAGATGTTGAGAAACTGGGGTGAAGGCTCTCCCTTCGCTAGGAAAAACTGGCAGCCTGTAGGACAACTTAATTAAATAATTGCTTTGGACGGTCGTGGGTATAATTAATCATTTAGCCCCAGAGATTGCTGGAAACAACAGTGGACACAAAATGCAAGGATTCAGGGTTTCTGAGATGTAAAATTTTGATGTTCTCACAGCCCTTGCTGGCCCCAAGCTAGATAAGCGAGTGTAATTTAAGTGGAATGTAAGATATTTAGCTGTAAACTTGGATTTGGAAGTATCTCCGAGTATGGAATTTAAACCCAGCAGACTTTGAAGTTGGGATTCTTTCCCCTTGCCAGAGTGGGGCAGAAAAATGAAGACCACAGGTACCTTCTCTAGGGGGAGATTAGGAGAACTGGGAGGATTGGGAGGAGGCTGGAGGGTATGGGACCGGCCATCATGGTGGGCAGGGGACTGAGTGCAGTTCATGGTAGAAGAAGAGAAAGGGGTGGTTGGGGGTGATGAGGGCCACTCCGATGGTGCTCTGCCCAGGCTGTGCCCCTTGCACTAATCACCTAGTGGATCTGCACATGGTGGCAGCCCTGGTGATCGTCCCACTATCCAAGGCAGGTGGGAGGCTGGAGGCAGAGCTGGGACCTGTGTGCCCCAGCCCTGCTCCTTTCAGCCTTCCAGCTCTCCTGTCTCCCTCTAGCGCTCTTCTGAGAGGGGTCTGGGGCCCTGCACAAGGATGAGCACAATGGGGGAGAAAAAAGTCAGAGAAAACAGGTAGCCTTCCTTTAAATTTTAAAATCCTGTTATTTTTCCTTCAATAGAAACTTAGAGGAATCTATTAAAATTTTAAATTGACTTTGTGAGCTTTCAAAGTGAAAACTCAGGAGGCCTGTATTTCCTCGAGATAAGTTTTTGTTTTTCTCAAAAGTCAGTTTTTAATCTCCAAAGCAACAGTGCATCAGGCAATAACACGGCTTAATGTGGTTGTTCTTATTACAATTTTTCCTGCTACTCCCAGGCAAGCCGGAGAGTGGCACGGATTTTGACTACCTGTAATAAGGTAACGATTAGAATATATGAATTACCCGGACTAGCTCCATGTTCAAATGCTAATTGAATTTTCTTGCAAAAAAAAGACTTTTGGTCTCAATATCAGGCTGCCAATCATCAGTTGGAAATGTGGTTGGCATGAAATCTAATTTCAGCTCTTTCCTGGGGGAGCCCAGGGGTAAACACCATATCCCACCGCACCTACGCTGGGTACAGCGATGGCGGCGGTTAGTAGGGAACACGCAAGCACTGGAGGGCTTACTGCCAACAAGTAATTTCCATGGGGACTACTCATGGATGATCAGGACAAATTTGCATTGTCCCCTACTATGTGGGAAGCCCTTGGCGGGCTCTGGTAGAACCACAAAGACATCTCACCCACGGTTCTCGTTTCAAATGTAATTCATACCCGGGTCTGGGAGGCATATGACAAAAGAGGTAAAATGTTAGACTATTATAAAAGATTCTAATAGTAGTTGGGACTGGCACATCAATAAAAATAATAATAATAATAATAATAGCAGCTCGGATTTATGAAGGCACCGCCCCCTGAGCCAGGTTCCTTTTTAAAAAGAACAGTTGATCGAGAGATGATTCAATATACCATTAAGTTCACTCTTAAAGCAGGCAATTCCGTGATTTTTAGTACATTTGATGAGATGTGCAAACATCACCACTGACTCTAGAACATTTTCATCACCTCCTCAAAAACCATGTCCTTGTTATCAGTCACTCCATGGGATCTCCTGCCCCATGAGCCTGGCTTCTGAATCCTCTGTTTTCTCTAATAATTACAGCAATCCTTTCAGAGCAGGTACCATAAGCCCCTTTTATGAAGAGGGTACCAAGGCTAAGAGCCCGAGGTCACTGTGCTGGGTGAAATTGTGTTGCCCAAAAGGATATGTCTGACTCCCAGCCCTTGAACTTGTGAACGGGACCCTTGGAAACAGGGTCTTTGCAGATGGGGTCTTGTTAAGGATCTCAAGATGAGCTTCTCCTGGGCTGACAGTGGGCCCTAAATTCAATAACATGTGCCCCCTTTGAGAAAAAGGAGAAGACAGAGACATAGTGGGGAGGCCACGTGAAGGTGGCAGCAGAAACCTGTGACGGGGAGACCAGCCAGAGCAGGCCGGCGGTGGCCAGTAGCCACTAGGAGTCAGGAGCCAGGCATGGGGAGAAGCCTCAGTCCAATGCTGAGGACTCCTTGACCTCAGACTCCTGGCCTCGAGAACGGGGACAATACATTTCTGCGGCTCTCGGCCCCCAAGCATG